ATGCGATACAGCCAGGTACATGTGGTACAGCCAGGTACATGTGGTACAGACAGGTACATGTGGTACAGCCAGGTACATGTGGTACAGCCAGGTCCATGTGGTACAGCCAGGTACATGTGGTACAGCCAGGTACATGTGGTACAGCCAGGTACATGTGGTACAGCCAGGTACAGCCAGGTACATGTGGTACAGCCAGGTACAGCCAGGTACATGTGGTACAGCCAGGTACATGTGGTACAGCCAGGTACATGCGATACAGCCAGGTCCATGCGATACAGCCAGGTCCATGTGGTACAGCCAGGTACATGTGGTACAGCCATGTCCATGTGGTACAGTCAGGTCCATGTGGTACAGCCAGGTACATGTGGTACAGCCAGGTACATGACGACAGTTGTGAGGTATCTGGAGTGAGCTGTACCCTAGCCCCAAGGTAGTACTGGAAGGAGAAAGTCCCCTAAGGGTCTAGATATCCCATAACTAGTGGAAGAGAAGATTTCAGTTCTGTGGCTAATGGGAGGCAGCCATGATCGTCATGTCTTGGTGACAATCGTTTCAGACATGCGCTGAATTCGGTGACGCATTTTGGTGTAATTTCTAAGATAAATTGTTTAGTAGTTTAGGGAGGCGAGTTGCTGCAGTAACGGTGAGTGATGTGAGGGAAAAAAGTTGTACAGTGATTAAAAGTGTTAAAAAGGTCAAACAAATTACTGCCTGGCAACAGTTAGGGTCGGTTCCCACCCTAACATGGCGTCAGTTTGCATGGCAACACTGCAGATAGTTTGTCAATTGCTAAGTCATAAGTACGATAAATTTGAGGAACTTACGACAGTGTATTATTTGTTTAAATAATTAACCCTCTGATTTATGAATCTTAAATTTAGGACACTCATAATTGTAATTGCTCGAAGTATCTAGGTAAGGTAATCCTATCAGGATTACAATCAGGAGGAATCAGGAGGAAGCACTAAGCCATTACGACTATACAGCACTTGGGAAGGATATGAGGGTAAGGGTATGGGTAAGCGTAAGGGTAAGGGATGGGAGGGAGGGGGACTAGGGTGCCGGTATCTCCCCCAGGGGGAGGACTGCCACTACCGCTCACCTCTGACAGTCGACGGCTGCTGCTGATCTCCTCATGATGTACTAATGTACTCTTGACGTTTCGCATTTTCACCGCCCAACATTCTTCTCATAATCATAAAGTGATCCGTGATAATTGTTGGAATGTATTTGGTGTTAAAAGCGGTAACATTTAGAGAGAAAAACATAGAAGTAAAATGTTTCCCCTTGACCAGATAACACACTAGAAGGTGAAGGGACGACGACGTTTCGGTCCGTCCTGGACCATTCTCAAGTCGATTGTGATTGTTATTCCTGATTGATATTCAGTCAATCGACTTAGGAATGGTCCAGGACGGACCGAAACGTCGTCGTCCCTTCACCTTCTAGTGTGTGGCCTGGTCAACTTACTTTAACCACGTTAAAGTAAGTTGGTTGGACGGTAGAGCGACGGTCTCGCTTCATGCAGGTCGGCGTTCAATCCCCCGACCGTCCAAGTGGTTAGACACCATTCCTTCCCCCCGGCCCATCCCAAATCCTCATCACCACCAATGGCTATATAGTCGTAATTTCTTGGCGCTTGTTCCTGATAGTTCCCTTCCCGTGCCCCTTGCCTTCCTAAGTATATGTGCGCCCATTGGTTGCTATGTAACATAATATGTATTGTCGGGAGAACCTTCCAGATATTCTGTCACTGACATTAATAATTTATATTTTTCATGATCTGTATTAATAATATTATGCCAGTGGAGATGCCTATCTGTGGGTGTTTGAGTGATGTGGTGACTTTGCTGTTGTAATTAAGGTCATATTGGGCTGGGACTGTGTGTGTGTGTGTGTGTGTGTGTGTGTGTGTGTGTGTGTGTGTGTGTGTGTGTGTGTGTGTGTGTGTGTGTGTACTCACCTATTTGTGTCTACAGGATCGAGCATTGACTCTTGGATCCCGCCTTTCGAGCATCGGTTGTTTACAGCATTGACTCTGGTCCTATTTCCCTATCATACCTGGTTTTAAAATTATGAATAGTATTTGCTTCCACAACCTGTTCCTTACGTGCATTCCATTTTCCTACTACTCTCACGCTAAAAGAAAACTTCCTAACATCCCTGTGACTCATCTGAGTTTCCAGCTTCCATCCATGTCTCCTCGGTCTGTTACTATTCCGTGTGAACATTTCGTCTCTGTCCACTCTGTCAATCCCCCTAAGTATTTTATACGTTCTTATCATATCCCCCCCATCTCCCTTCTTTTTTCTAGTGTCGTAAGGCACAGTTCCTTCAGGCGCTCGTCATACCCCATCCCTCGTAACTCTGGAACGAGTCTCGTTACAAACCTCTGAACCTTGTCCAGTTTCCTTATACGCTTCTTCAGATGGGGGACTCCATGATGAGGCGGCATACTCTAAGACTGGCCTCACGTAGGCAGTGTAAAGTGCCCTAAATGCCTCCTGACTTAGGTTTCTGAATGATGTTCTAACTTTTGCCAGTGTAGAGTACGCTGCTGTCGCTGTGTGTGTGTGTGTGTGTGTGTGTGTGTGTGTGTGTGTGTGTGTGTGTGTGTGTGTGTGTGTGTGTGTGTGTGTGTGTGTAAGTAGCAGTGGTGACACAGGTGCTGCCACGAGCACCCACCAGTGTTACACGTTAATTAAGTGTACGTAAAAAAAAGTATTTTATAATTATCTTACATCCCTCATATTTGAGGAATTGCTAATGTTATAACTTGTTCTGTCTTACATGTTAATACACACACATATATATATATATATATATATATATATATATATATATATATATATATATATATATATATATATATATATATATATATATATATGGAGACACTCCAGACGGTGCTTCCCTTAACGTAGTCACATATATTAACTGACCTTTCCTCTAGATAATTTTTTTCTTGTTAAGGGAGGGTTAAGGGTCAATACTGAAGCATCTACTGCAGTTCTTAAGGGGGTTGACACCTTAACCTTCTGGCGATAAGATCCTTATGACCCGCTAAGGTCACTCATGTTCTTAATTATAATGTTTCTTAAATAATGTTCTTAAACTCATGTGGTGGTCAGGACCATAATGACAGCCACACCCCACCAATGGTTGGACCACACACCTGCACTATCATTACACACACCTGCACTATCATCACATGTACACCACCAAAGCTGCACCACCACACACCTGCACTATCATCACACGTACACCACCACACCTGCACCACCATTACACGTTCACCACCACACCTGCACCACCACACACCTGTACTATCATCACACGTACACCACCACACACCTGTATTATCATCACACGTACACCACCACACCTGCACCACCACACACCTGTACTATCATCACACGTACACCACCACACCTGCACCACCACACACCTGCCACACCAGACAACACTGCCAGGGGCTACAGGCGGCTATACACACACACACACACAACTCTGCAAGCAGCAAGCCTGGAGCCTCTCCTCGCTTGAGCTGCCTCAGGACGGACCCCGGATAACACCCTAAGCTTTAAGATGAAAATGGCGGCGGGGAATGAGAAGGAAGCCACGGGGCCACGCAGGAACAATGCGTCTTATCGCGGGCACAGTCACATTTCTCACGCCACTCACTTTTAAATTTCTCATTAGCACCGGCGGAGGACGTCCGGGCTTAGCGCGAGATGAAAGAAATATAAATGTATCCCTTAAAGATAAGCTTCTCAAGCAAAATTTAAAAATTCGTACGGAAGCAATAATTCATTCTGAGAAGCGAGGAGACTTTTAAAGAGTTTATCGGAAGTTTTGCTACGCGGCCGCACTGGGAACTAGTTCCTGTCGCGGACGCCGACCTGAGTACCGCGGCTCCTCAACCTTACTTAAATCTCTCTCAGTTTAAAATCTCTCACTTCTATATTTTTATATAAATATCCCGGAGCTCTGTTGAAGGTATACCTCGTATATAATATATAGTGACAGAAGGAGTATTATATGTAGTGAGGCCGCCAAAAAAATATAATTACTCATAATAATATATAAAAATAATTATATAATTACAAATATAATAATATATAAAAATATAATAATAATAATAATAATAAAAAATGTAATAATAATTAGAAATATAATAACAGAAACAACACAGACGCCCCCTCCCTCCTTGCCCCCCTCTCCTACAACCCCCACCTCCCCCCCCCACCTCCCCCCCACACCAAACACAACAAGTGCGATCAAGAACAAAAAGTTCTCTTGAACTCAACAAACAAACACAAACAGCAAGCAGCTGTTCCTTGTGTACAAAACAGCGCTTGAGATGCGACAAACAAATTGTCGGCTGTTTCCAACAAACACACACAGCGCTGTGCTTGCGAGGTGTTTGTTGGGGCGTGTGAGGTGACGTGACTGTTTGGAGGCATGTGAGGTGACGTGACTGTTTGGAGGCATGTGAGGTGACGTGACTGTTTGGAGGCTTGTGAGGTGACGTGACTGTTTGGAGGCTTGTGAGGTGACGTGACTGTTTGGAGGCTTGTGAGGTGACGTGACTGTTTGGAGGCTTGTGAGGTGACGTGACTGTTTGGAGGCATGTGAGGTGACGTGACTGTTTGGAGGCTTGTGAGGTGACGTGACTATGTGGAGTAAGCTAAGAGAGGTAAATTATGAGGTGTTCCCTCACAGTGTTCGAGGAGGTGGAAAGCTGGGAAGGAGGAAGAAAGAGAGAGAGAGAGAGAGAGAGAGAGAGAGAGAGAGAGAGAGAGAGAGAGAGAGAGAGAGAGAGAGAGAGAGAGAGAGAGAGAGAGAGAGAGAGAGAGAACAAGAGTAGAGTTGGTAGTGATACTGGAGCACAAGATTAAGGACACAGGAACCACGACCACATATCCAGCATACACAAGATAAGTCTGGCTAAGATCACCAAGCTAGTGAGTGGAGCTGGACAGGTCAGGAGACGTATGATGGGAACTGCTTGCTGGGATGGGAAGGTCTCTAGAACGTGTCACGACCACAGCAAGCAGGGCGACTATAGCAAGCATGACGACCACAGCAAGCAGGGCGACTGTAGTAAGCAGGACGACCACAGCAAGCAGGGCGACTGTAGTAAGCATGACGACCACAGCAAGCAGGACGACCACAGCGAGCAGGGCGACTGTAGTAAGCATGACGACCACAGCAAGCAGGACGACCACAGCGAGCAGGGCGACTGTAGTAAGCATGACGACCACAGCAAGCAGGACGACCACAGCGAGCAGGGCGACTGTAGTAAGCATGACGACCACAGCAAGCAGGACGACCACAGCGAGCAGGGCGAATGTAGTAAGCATGACGACCACAGCAAGCAGGACGACCACAGCGAGCAGGGCGACTGTAGTAAGCATGACGACCACAGCAGGCAGGGCGACTATAGTAAGCATGACGACCACAGCAAGCAGGACGACTATAGTGAGCAGGACGACCACAGCAAGCAGGACGACTATAGTAAGCATGACGACCACAGCAAGCAGGACGACTATAGTGAGCAGGACGACCACAGCAAGCAGGGCGACTATAGTAAGCAGGACGACCACAGCAAGCAGGACGACTATAGTAAGCTTGACGACCACAGCAAGCAGGGCGACTATAGTAAGCATGACGACCACAGCAAGCAGGACGACTATAGTAAGCATGACGACCACAGCAAGCAGGACGACTATAGTGAGCAGGACGACCACAGCAAGCAGGGCGACTATAGTAAGCAGGACGACCACAGCAAGCAGGACGACTATAGTAAGCTTGACGACCACAGCAAGCAGGGCGACTATAGCAAGCATGACGACGACAGCAAGCAGGACGACCACAGCAAGCAGGACGACCACAGCAAGCAGGACGACTATAGTGAGCAGGACGACCACAGCAAGCAGGGCGACTATAGTAAGCAGGACGACCACAGCAAGCAGGACGACTATAGTAAGCTTGACGACCACAGCAAGCAGGACGACTATAGCAAGCATGACGACCACAGCAAGCAGGACGACCACAGCAAGTTTCACGAGCTTTGACATGAAAAAGAAAGTGGATTCTAAGGAAACAACGTGTGCGGGGGAGAGGTAAAAACTGAATTAGGATTTTTTTTCCAGGATCAGGAAGTTATGTTTAGGACACGCACTGAAGAATGTTAACTGGTAAAAATGAAATTAGAAGTAGGCGGAGCTAATATTTTGAAAGTTTGATAACATTGTGTAACATCTTTATATATTTTTGTGTTCCTTGATAATGTTACTTACGAATTGCTTATGCTTCCAAAGGTATAGAAAATACTAATTAATCCCGATATTAATGAATAATTAGACATTAGCAATTAGAAACAACACTTTCTAGCAGCAAAAATTGTATTACAGAGTGTAATGAAAATATCCGATGATTGTGCTCTCGTATACTAAGGAATCCAAGTGTAGTTTATCTACGTCTATGATCATTTGATCTTCTCCATTCCCTCTATTCTTTGAGTGCTAAATTATTCCTTGTCCATGTTCCAAACTGTTGTGCTGAAGTCTAGCAGATACATGTATTGTTGAAGTTATATCGCCTATGTTTACTTCCGGTGACTGCTTGGGTCCACCTCCGGCATCTTGACATCTACGAAATCTTGTCTATACTTCTGATCCCATTAACATTATACTGCATCTGTTAGGGTTGGATTCTAGTAAACAAATAGCTTGGAATCTAATGGTCTGTTGCTGTAAATATAAATATTTCCCTTTCTGCGTGGATTGTTTATCTGTCTCTGAATTATATCAGAGCGGGAAAGTATTTATCAACCCTGAATCTACAATGGTTCTATTTATTACAACACAGGGTTCCATTAGCCTGCGTCATGACTGCATTATATTACAATGTATATATCTCAGTGACATTTACCAAGTTTAACACTTTGTCTCTTCTTGAATACTTGTGTAGTAACATTTGCCTATTTTAAACATTCTGGCAGCGCCCCTGTTTCCAATATTAAAGATATATGCTAGTGGGTTACTGGACGAAGCTTCTATTACAGTATCATCCTTCCTTCACACCGTCCTTCAGTGTCCATGACGAAACTGTCTGTTTACACTGCCAGAGTTGTCTCCCTTTCTCAGCCCTCTCCTCCCAGATACATGGTGTATACTGACCATGTGTCATTATGTATCTCCTCGTCGTGGCCTTCATCATCACCAAGTAATTAAAAGCAAAAACCATAATACAGTTCTTACTGGTCCCAAGGCCGATTGTGTGCAATATTATCTCAACATTATCAGCTCTGTGAGCGACTACCAGGTCCAGCCTTGCAGGGAGGTCATGTTAGTGTCCTTGCTGGGAAGTTGGGTTAGGATGTTTCCTTCTCCTACCTCCACCAGCTTTGCCGTGCATGACTCTTCCCGTCTTGCATGCCAGTCTCTGTCTTTATGGTCCGAGTATTGGAGGGGTTGGGGTTGGGGGGGGGGGCAGAATGTGAAGATGGAGAGCTTTGTGACTCTAGTGACCTTTGACCCCGGTAATCTGGTGACCTCAATAAGTTGGTGATCACAGTAACCTGGTTACTTCAGTTAGCTGGTGATCACAGCAACATGACCGCAGTAACCAGGACGACCACAGCAAGTAGGACGACCACAGCAAGCAGGGAGACTATTGTAAGCAGAACGACCACAGCAAGCAGGGCAGCTATAGGAAGCATGACGACTACAGCAAGCAGGACGACCACAGCAAGTTGAATAACCAGAGTAGTCACTATAGAGGCCATAGAGATCTGTCAGAACATACCATGACAAAGAGGAAGGGGAATAGTGAGGATGAGCATGAAGTGGAGGGAGGGAGGGAGAGGGTGGGGGTAGAGGCTAGGAGATATTATAAGACAGGATTGCAAGACGACAGGGAGTGTTAGAAGGGAGTAGAAGACAGAAAGTGTAAGACGGGAGGAAGAGAAGGAGGTAAGAAGGCAGGAAGGAAGGAAGGAGGGAGGGAAGGAAGGAGGGAGGAAGGGAGAGAAGAACGGAGGGAGAGAGAGGGAGGGAGAGAGAGGGGGGGAGAAGAACGGAGGGAGAGAGAGAGAGAGAGAGAGAGAGAGAGAGAGAGAGAGAGAGAGAGAGAGAGAGAGAGAGAGAGAGAGAGAGAGAGAGAGAGAGAGGAGACTGGAAGCCATGGTAACAGTAGCCAACAAACTTTCTCAACTCATGTTAAAGGGAAGGCCTGCCTCTGTGTGGGCTGTGAGGGCGGCAGGGGAGGGCAGGGTGGGTGGCGGCAGGGGAGGGCAGGGTAGGTGGCGGCAGGGGAGGGCAGGGTGGGTGGCGGCAGGGGGAGGGAGAACACCAGCAGGGCGGCAGGGAGGGCAAGACAAGAGAAAGAGGAGCGTGGGTGGCAGAGTATGGAGGGGTGGCTCTGGGTGGAGGGCGGCAAGAGTGGGTGGCACTGACAACATGGCAGGTAAGGGAGCGGCAGGGAGTGCCAGGTTACGAGGCGGGTGCCAGCAGGCGGACACAGCCCACCAGGACGAGTGAGGGACTATGAGGCCCCTCACTCGTCCTCATAGAACACAATTACCTCATAGAAGTAATAGTAAGGAAATGAATGACTAGAAATGATTAGAAATGACTAGAAATTGAATTGAAAATGACTAAATGACTAGAAAATTTGATGTCCTTGAGTCATGCATAAAGGTTTAGATGTTACAGTGAAGGCTGGATCTTATTGTGCACCCCATACTCATCCTGTGAGCGGTAGTGTATTGTGCACCCCATACTCATCCTGTGAGCGGTAGTGTATTGTGCACCCCATACTCATCCTGTGAGCGGTAGTTTACTGTGCACCCTATACATGCTAAGTATGGGTGTAATCATTCTTCCTTGAGGTATACTCAGCTGAAAAAGCACAGAAGAGTTTTCCTTGACCTCTCTGAAGAGGACTTGATGTGCTTGTCTCTGAGGCACCTTATTGCCCGGGGCAGCAGCCTTCACTTGGCTCGAAATGAGATTAGATGTTCGAAGATTAGATTTCTATTTTCTGTGTCGAAACTTTTTTTGAGTTACCACAAGCGCCGCACGAGAGAGCTTCACCTCTACCTGACGAAATATTCAGCACTGTCTGAGTGGTTCTTCTGGGAGGAAGCAAGCCAATCAGGTACTGAGCGTCTTGATTTCTTGTTAGACCCATTAACTTGCTCAGTACAATCCTCTCGAGAATTTTTCAACGCAGGATGTTGGAGACAAGGCTCGAATGTCTTTAGAGAATTTAGCTTGGGTATCACGAGTCTGTGTCCAGCGGTCCGGTAGCTACCCCCTAGCTGTCTCAGGCTATGTCTCACAGTAGAAACAGGCAACTCTTGGGCAGGTCAGCTAATACTCTCATAGTGTCGTATGCTAGGCTATCCTCTCCAGAAGACGGAGTTCTATATTTCGCGAGTGTAATAAAGGTTTTTTCAATAATGAAATTTCGATTCAGATTATTGCTAGCAACTGACACCCTGCAACCGGATCTGGACACATTCAGAAGTGATGTGGAAAGGGGTTGGTAGAGTTTGACCGTGTCAAATGGAAATTTATCAGATTAGGAATAGGATTGAGAAGACCTGCACAACAGTACAGATTGAAAGAGAAACAGATTCGTGCTTCAGTGAAGCAGAAAGACCTGGAGGTAGATATAACCACAAATGACGACCATACCACACACAAGAAGATGAAGAAACAACGTTTCGGTTCGACCTGGACCACTATCAAGTGAAGGCTACGTCTTGATAATGGTCCAGGACGGACCGAAACGTCGTCGTCTCTTCATCTTGTGATGAGTTGTTTGGTCATCGTATCTTCAGCCACGGTATTATGACACATCGTCTGTATATCCACAAATCTTATACCGGACGCCAACATTAACAGAAAAGCATCGTGCAGCGTCCGCTAAGCCTGCAGGAGGTAGAAGACAGGAGCCCACCCGGCCGCTGTGTAAGACCCAGTCTTAAGGAGCCACCAACCCGACATGGAGCCCTCGTCTGGGAAAGGAAAAGGAAAAACCAGAAATGATCCGAAGATAATCAACCAGGATCGTTGCTGAGCTGAAGGCCTTAGCTTCAAGGAAAGACTGAGGAAACTGGATCTCACCAAACTGATGGACAGGAGGAGTAAGAGGGACATGATAGCGACATATAAGATTTGAAGAGAAATTGACATATTCACAAAAGACCCGTTCAAAGTTATGAACTTTTTCAGTGTTAGACCCGTCAATAAGTGATATAGGGTTGACCAAGATGTCGTCGAAGCTAACGCAACACAAAATTCAACATTGAAATATGCTAACAAAAATGAAAGTGGGAAATGAGTAATTGTATTAAATTAAGAACGTCCAGAAGGCTGGTACAGGAGTCGAACTTGTCCCTGAAGGCACATCTAGATGAGTGTATCTACGTGAGTATACACACACACACACACACACACACACACACACACACACACACACACACACACACACACACACACACACACACACACACGCTGCTCTAACAACTAAGTCATGAACTTCAGTACATATGTAAACCCACTGCGAGTATAAAGTTACTAATACCATCCGTGGTCCCATGTCTATATTTACTACTTCTGGTGCCTGCAGAGACGAGCTGTTAGCTCTTGGACTACGTTAGTCTCACCTCAGGAGGTCTAGTGTACTCACTCTCAACCTTATACTCTCTCTCATACCTACAACACTTACTTCCTTCTAACACACACACACACACACACACACACACACACACACACACACACACACACACACACACACACACACACACACATATATTCACAGGATGCAGCCTGTAGCAGCTGTCTAACTCTCAGGTACCCATTTACTGCTAGGTGAACAGGCGAATCAGGTAAGAGAAACTCTGTCTAATTGTTTCTGCCTCTGCTAGAAATCGAACCCGGGCCTCGTGCACTACGACACGCGAGCGCTGTCCACTCAGCCGCGCGCGTGCGTGCGTGCGTGTGTGTGTGTGTGTGTGTGTGTGTGTGTGTGTGTGTGTGTGTGTGTGTGTGTGTGTGTGTGT